AGGGGGGGGGGGGAATTCTACAGTCAGGCGTGACAGATCGAATGTCCCTGTACAGTATTGATCCTAACTGGTCAAGTGATCGGGCGGGAAATGTATACATATATCTATAACCGGCCAGTCCAGCGATCAAGCGAGAAGTAGTAGAAGCAAAGATACTCCACTACAAGGTCTTTGGTAGAAGTGTATATTTATAACTCTCTGGTCAAGAGCTGGGACAGGAGATCTATCACGCAGTCATGCGTAGCAGTCACCAGCGCTCCGGTCGCTCGGTCAGTCAGTTGCGGTTGGTCTCACATTGTTGTTAACCCTATCCGTACGCCCTGGGGTCATTTTGTACCCCCGGGGTTGTATTCTTCACATTTTAGAAAGCTTCTGGTGCGAAGATCTCTTTCAGTGTTTCTATTAAAACAATCGTTTTTGACATGCTGCTATGCAAAGCGTACGGGTCGGGTTAAAGAGCAAATTTCCTCTTTGGAAAGTGGTAGCACAGAGTTCCCCACGTCATATGGATACGATAGTAAAACACGACGTACGGATAGGGTTAACACTTTCTGGGCTTGTGGGTGGTTGGAGGGCGCTCTGGTGTGGTTTACTCCTTCTTTCCTATCAACATCTATCGTCCTGATCTCTCCTCCTCCTTTTTTTTTTTTTTTTACTCTCTTGTAACACCTCTAATCTTCGACACTAATAAGACCTTGTTGTGTTGCAAGTGCCGTAAAACTCTTAGGGAAAAAAAGCTGAACTTGGGAGTAAGGGAGAGTTCATTCCGCGCTACCAATTACAGGAAACTATTTTTTTTTAAGTAAGGTTTTGCGGCGCTCGCAACTGCATAAGGTCATATTATGAACGCCAAGGGGTGATGTCAACAGAGAAGTCCAAACAGGAAATCAGGCTTACTCTGCTCACCTCTCTAGCCTCAGCAGCACAAAGTCTGCTTCGACAATCAAAGTACCCTGGAAATAGCAGTTCACAAGAGAGTGACAAACATGCAAAAGATGTAGAGGAGAAATGACTACAGGGAACTTTACTGACTTGTGTATCGCACGCTGAATTATGACTTCATGCGGTTGTTAGTGCAGTAAAACTTTTCTCCCCCTCCCCCCAATATAAATATATAAATAAATAAAATAGTGAATTAACACATAAACAAATAGAT